ACAAAAACTTTAAAACCTTTGAAAAATTTTTGGCATAAAATTGAAGTATAAAAACAGGGATTTTTTCTAAGTTTTCATAGATTTTTTATCAAGAATTTTTGGGACAAAATTGTTCTCTTTTTGCCTGTTTTACTATGAATGACGAACATTCTTAAGTTAAAGGCTTTCTTTCATATCCTTTTACCACATCACGCACAAACAAACAGTGACACTATTTTGAAAAAAGAATTTTTTTTAAAGTTTTTTTCTATCTTTTTAAAATTCGGATTAGTTCGAAATTTGTAACAAGCTAGTCTGCCTGTATGCGGAATAACTTTTAGTTTACTTCTAAAAACTTTGGTTCGGGAAAATTAGAATAACAAATTTAAAAATTTGAGCTTGTGTATCTTCACTAACAGCCGATTTCAATTATTGTGGCTATGACTTGAGTTGCGTAGGGGTAATCGGGCTACCTCAATTCTGTTTGCAACAATTTTGAGTGCGAAATAGTTCGCCGAGCAAAATATTTCGCATCCCTTAATAAGCCTCTTAAGAACTGTTAGACACTCGCATACATTTGTTCAGGACTATAACGTCCAGAATTTTAGAAAAACAATTGCAGGCAAAACATGTTTTTCACAAAAATTTTACTGTTCCGAACATTTGAAAAATGTGGAAGAAATTTGTATTCGTGTTTGTTTTAGTAGTTTTTACTCTTTTTTGTTTTCCACGCAAAATCAGCCGCAACAAAAAAATATTGGAATGGGTCAAGAGATATATCGTATTAAAGCCCTTTCAGAACAACATTTAAAATTTTGAAACAGTTTTCATGTCGAGAAAAACCAGTTTATTATTTCTTATTTTTGGTTTAGTTTCAAGATAACAGTTTAGACCGTGAAAAAAGTTAGTTTCATTTGAGAATCAAAATATTCAAAATTCATTTAATTTCTGCAAAAAAAGTTCATTCAATTAAGTTTTTTCTAGTCATTTCTCTACAAAAAACGTTTTCCTAGCCTTTCTAGTCGTTTTTCTAGTCAGTTCGTTTTTCCAGTCATTTTTCTACAAAATTTGTTTCCCAATTGACCTATTCTACTGTCAAATATGCCCAAGTTTTAGTTTTTTTTTAGGTTCTGTTTATTACACCACCAAGAAAAAACGACACTAATTTGAAAAAAAAAATTAGAATTTTCTCAAGGAGAGCCGGATTTTCAAAAACGTTTCAAAATTTTTTCGACCTTGTTGTTAGGTTAACCGATTTAATTTCCGAGCTCTCCCAAAGCACTAAAAAGACCTGTTTTTGCCAAAGTTTCCGCGTTGCAGGCAAATTAAAAAAAAACAGGCCGAAAAAATGTTTTAAGGCCTTTTTTGGAAAATTTTAACCAACATATTGCGTTTTTTTGGCGCGCGGTACTCCTCAAAATTAGTATACATTGGCGCCGTTAGAAATTTTATAGGGTTAGTCAGCTACAATTATATATCTCATAATAGTAGGTGGAATCTTTGGGTCAGCAAGGGTTCGAATACCTGACGGAGGCGTCTGCCCCCGCCCTCCCCCTCCTATAAATCAATCTTTTACTGCTTGATGGGGTGTATAATTTTTTCTACTTGAAAGTAAATACTTCAAGCAAATGAAACAAATATTTTTATAACTTTTTTAATTTTCATGTTTTTTTTTTCAATTTTTTCATAAAGCGTATTAATAGACTTTCGATTATCATTTGTTTTCATCGGGTTTGTTAGGTTATTGTTATATATTAGTCAAATCGTCCACTCTTTGCATGAAATTAGTTGAAATTTCAAAATAGTCTAGTGAAATAGCATTTTGAAAGCTCTTTCATTCATAAATCGAACAGCAATCTCACAACCTAATGTTTACCTATGACACCTTATTTTGTAGGATTCAATTTTGACAACCAGACTTGAATTTCAATGGTCGGAATAAGCGAAGATTTTAAATGTTCAATAAAGACAATGGAATGATTCAGAGTTATAAAACAGTTCCGGCAAAAACCGTTTTTTCGACTATGTCTGAAGAAAATTACAGCTGACAAAAAAACACTATGCTCACATTCTCATGAAACCTGTACAATAAATTAAAAAACGAGGGGCGCGATGAATGCTTGCCTCTGACAATCACTTTTTTGACTGCTATATTTGACTCTGACATTATATGTCGGGTTACTTTCAATTCATCATAAATTTCTGCAACATTTTTGGATAAATAAAGAGATGAAATTCCGGATTTATTTTCAAAAGGAACCCTACTGTGGGAAAAAAATGATTGTATCGATATCTCAGCAGGCAGATATGAATAGTTCAAGTGTCGCAATTTAGCCAACAGCTAATCCTATTTCCTCACTTTTACAACTACAAGCACATTTTCCCACATTTCTCCAGTTGCATTCTTTGTCAAATGAACATCGCACCCCTTAGAAAATCAAATATTATCAAAATAGTAGATTAGGTTATCAAAAGAAATATTTGGGAATTTTTCTTAAAGTGAACAATTTAAATATTTGTCCAATTTATTGGATTTTTAGTCTTTTTCACATATTTGCGAATTTTTGAAAAGTGGATTGTTTCAACAGGGCATTTTTAATTTGTTTTCATATTAAATGTACGCTAAAAGCATTTTAAGTTGAAGAATTTTGTGTTTGGTTGGCTGCGTTTTTGACTTGAAATTATTCATGAAAATGGGTGAGTGAATATATCAGTTGGGGGTTATGGAAAAGGGAGGGGGAATGGGCAGTGGGTAATAATTGGGATGCGAAAATGGATGTGTGGTGTTTAATATGTGTGAACGAGTGTTGAAAATGTGAATTTATTTGTGAATTTATTTACTTGTTTGCTAATCAAGTGTGAAACTTATGGAAAAGCTCTCATCTCGGTATGAATTCCTAACTGAACCCTTGCCTGTTATCATCTGAAACAGTGCGGGTTCCATTATTTAGTTATGAATATTTTATAAAGAGAGAATTGAGAAAATTGAGTTTCTCCCTTTTTTATTTACACTCTGCTGCTATTCGCCCAGTCCCAAGTGTCAATTTTGCATAAACAGCGAATGTCAAAAACTTCACCTAATTTCTATCCAAAATACATTCGAAGTTCAGATGAATTTTATCAATATTAATCCAAAGGATTCTAAATTTATCAACTTATTAAAAATTGAAATGCGTTCAATGTTGATTGACATGTGGTCTGTTTGTGAAGGGTAGTGATGTTTGCTACTGATATTGTGAAAAATAAACTTGTATTTTTTGTGTATCTTGGGGGGGGGGTAATTGGCCCAAATGGCATCCAAGTCAACAGATATGATCTCCAATTCGTCAGGAAAGAGTCAAAGTCAAAAGATATTTGACACATTATTCTTAAAATACTTTTTTGATAATTTGCTTCTCCACTTGGATTAATTTTTAGATTCCCAGATGTCATTCCCAGATGTGGAATTCCAAATTTGTCCAGACTTCCCAGATGTCACGTGAATTTTTGCCTCTCCGGTGTGTAGAAAAGATGGAATTTTAATTGGCAACAAATCCAATTGAGGTATTTAATAGCCAATCTCGCCATAATTAATGAAAGAGGTGGGCGCGTGTCGAAGCACGCCAGCTGGGTCTTAAATTCCGATAATATCCCCCATTTTAGAACCCCCTTTGTATTTCAAAGACCAATTTAGATGATTATAAAAAATATATTGCACAAAAATGCGGAAAATATTCATGCTGTGTAATTTTTAATCGGTAGCTGTTGGAATAAATGCCGCAGAGTTCTTCAGTACAACAGATTTAATCTCTTAAATTTTAGATAAAAATAGATCAGATTATTAACCTTGCATCATAGAATTATAATAATTATAAATCATTTATCATAAATACTTTGGCCTTCGGAAAGACTGCTGGATAATAACTCTTTCATTAAAGTCAACTTCTTCTAAAATTCAAAGAAAGCAGCTGACGCCCAAAAGTGACAAACAAAATCAATTTGAAGCCAGATATGCCAAGAGTATGAGTATAATACAATTTTAGGCTGTGAGCTGCCATCTTTTGATTCAAACAGCCAGAAGTTTTCTCAGAATGCTCACGACAATTTTGAAAGTATTCAATGCTTCTTCTGGAAAATGGATGCTTGTTTTCTGAACAATTCTCATTTTTTCTCTCAATTTTTTTCTACTTTTTAAGGAACAATGCATATAGGTCTGAATCCTGGATCAAGAAAGTTAAATACTGTTAAAAAAATGAACTAGTGAATAAGTACATTTGATTTCTTTAGCGGTGCTGACAGCTCTGCGCTTCACTAGATAAAATTTAGAACAATCTAGGCAAAGCCTAGTTTCCTTTGCGTGCCGAGGTAGGAGGAATGATCCCCTCTCAGTTCCGGTCGCAAAATTTTTCACATTTTTTACAATTTTTATTTGCTTGCAAACCCTATTGAGGACTCCAATATACACTAATTTCGAATGTGAGCACACAAAGAAGGCCTTTTCTGGTCTAAAAAAATCGGCTTCAGCTCCGAAATATTGCGTTATTTGGTCATTCCAGGTTTTCAAACTTTCAGGAAAAAAATTCTAGAGCACTTTTCTAACGAAAACGCCTCACGCGCTCTTCCTCCTCTCAATTAAATATTTATTTAGACAACATCCCTTGATTAATAGGTTCATCAGAATTTATTGGAGCTAAATTAAAATGTTCTCAATTTAGCACTTAAAGGAAACCGTTTGACATCTCAATTGTCAAATTATTCAACTACTAATTCCTTACCCAAGGGACTAAACACATTAAACTGTTAAGACTTTAATCAGATGGAGGATATTGGTAAAGAATTCACAAATTGATCCCTAATTTTCTGCCACTAAAATCATCTCAGCCGATTAAATGAAAGTAGCATTTAATTTACAATATTCCATTCCCAATCCTGTTCTTAATCAGGAAAAGGTGAATGGGAATTACCGCCAGCCAATGGGAACGCAGGAAATTAAGGTGACAGCCAATTAAATTCCACCATTTATCCACAGGATTGCAGCTTGAAATAACATTTGTTCGGACATCTTTTCAAATATTGCACACTTTTCTGTCTTGCTGATATACTTTAAGCTGCTCTTTGATATTTTCCTCATAAAACTATCAATTTTTGTATCTCATTTTTTGAGAGTAATCTCTGTAAACTTGAAGATGGCGATATCGGAATCTAATGTGAAAGCAGCTCCGATTAAGTTTTCGCTCGAAAGAATTCTTTCCGATGACAAAAACACCATGATTGACAAATGCGCCACATCTGCTAAAAGACTCGATTTTGAGCTTCAATCTCAAAATTTGAATACAAAAATATCACCAAAATTCTCAATTGACAATCTTCATAATTTTGGCGCCTCGAATGCCTTTCCAAATTTAATTGATAGCGCAATTCCAGAAAATAATTTAAATTTAAAACTGCCAGAGTTTTCTCTGAAAGCAGAAAGTCTTTTAAACGACCGCTTGGTGAATTCAAATTTTGCTAACTTTGCACCTGCGAACATTCAGTCCTACCATAATTTTCTCAACATGAGCTTAATTCGATCTCAAATCCTGAATTTCGAAAAACCTGGTCTTCAAACTCTGCCAAATTTTTCATTCCGAACCAACCCACAACTTCAGCTAGACTATACCACTAGTAGTTCACCTTTGAATTATAATTACCAAATGAGAATGCTGCAAAACTTGATGATTCAGAGATCTTTCCAGCAACACCTGATTGGCCAAAACTTCACAAAGTTTTCTGCCGATAGCTTCGATTTGACCGGAAAAGGACTACAAAAACACGTTGATCTCAATTTCAACAACCAGCTGTTCAACCTAAACTGCAGTGAAAAAATACTTTCACCCAAGAAGGCATCAAATTTCAACCCATTGATTGGAGGAGCAAAGAGGACATTCGATCACGTGGGTGGGGGGCATCAGGGTGCGCGACATCATGGGGGATCGTCTTCGGGACTGTCGGCTGCTTCGCTCAATGCAAAGAAGCGCTGTACAAGTGGGAAGGGGAAAGGAGCGATGTTTTCACCAGTAAACTCTCAACTACTCGAACTGCTCGGTAAGTTTAATTTTACAATTGTTTTAAGGCGAAAATTTTCAAAAGAAAATCCAAAGACTGCTCGAAAAAATTGTTAAAAGAAACTACAAACGAGTCAAATAGTTGAAAATATCTTGTCAAATATTGAGTCATGACACGTTTTTTTTAAATTTTCCTTCGAAAAATTTTGATTAGAGTATGGAATTTTTCGATCACCAATTTCAATATTTCATGTCCATGGAAAGATCCGTCGAAAATCAAAAAGCTGCAATGGCAGTCTTCAGTTGGGTCTCAAACTCAGTTCTCTCTGTAGCAAAGTTTCAAACAACCTTTACAGAGAGAACACTTTCTCATTTTTTTTTCTTCAAAAAACTCCCAAATTTGCTCTTGCTTGAAAACAACTTGATTTATTTCCTTTTGTATGTTTTTTCTCCTTTTAGCTTCAGGCGACAGTGGAATAGACGTGGGTTCAGACCCCAGTCGAATAGATGGGGAAGATGACGTCACTTCTGCAGGATACCGAGATGACGAGGTCATCCGCATGGAATCCCTCATGACTCCAGAGGCGGTGGAGAAGCTGTCAAAGATCCCCAACATAATCGGCGACTACATTTGTCAACTATGCAAGATAAAGTACAACGATGCTTTTCAACTAGCTCAACATAAGTGCTCCAACATACTTCAAGTCGAGTATAAATGTCCGGAATGTTCGAAAAAGTTCAACTGTCCAGCTAATTTAGCGTCTCACAGAAGGTGGCATAAGCCAAAATTCCAAGCCAGAGCTGAAAAAGTTTCCCCTTTGGCATTCGAATCAATAAAAAACGGAAACTTAACTTCTGTTGCTGAAATTTCAACCAGTTCAAAAATGGCAAACTACTCGTTTTCGTGCAAAAAATGCGCCCGAGAATTCAAAAAGCAAGCCTTTTTGGACAAGCACGAACAAACATGCTGCAGACCTAATATGAGCTCACCTATTGAAACTTCGCCCAAAAATATAACCAATTTTGTAGACTTTGCGACCAAAAACTTCAACAATATCAGTCCGATAGGAAGAAAGGGGCTTACAATTTCGCCCCTAGATGGTTTGTTGAAAATTGTCGACGGTGCCAAAACTGAGACAATTTCCAACACTGAAACTCCAGTTCGGGGATTTTATCCAAACTTCCCGAGAATGAATCTCTTGCAGCAGCATTTCCCAAGAGCCCAGAAGAGTTTGTTCAACTAAACGTCGTCTCAAGATAAAACTTTATATAAACATTTCTTGTAGAATGGATTTTCGGAATGTAACTCAATTCAAATTGTATTCAGGATGAACTCAAATTTTCTTTTAAAAAAATTTAAAAGAATTCTATTTTATTTAATTTATAAATTAATTTAAAAACTAATTCTCGAAAGAAATATTCTGAAAACTATTGGGCCAAATGAAAAGTTTCTGGCTAGTTCGCTTTTTTTCTCCAGACATTTGTGACCAAAGTTTCCTATTTCCAGACCAAAGTTAGCAATTCCAGAGTTTTGCCGCATGCAGAAAATAGGGCAAAATTTGCGACCGACAAGCGATATGTTAAGAATTTGCGATCCATGAAACGGCACAACCACCGCGACCATCTTGAAACTTTCATGCTTCAAGGAATAGACTTTTAGACAAATTGAAACTTTTCACAACCACACTACCATTCTAAAGTCTTTCAAACATTTCTGAATTTGGTATTATAATTTTTTTAATTAACTTCTTGCCAGCCCAAATCCGTTTATTGGGTTCTTAAAAACTACAATTTTTGTAGTTGCTTATACATGATGCTCTAAAAACTCATGACTACTTGAACTCCTACAACTTTGCTTAACGTTTGCTAAACGTTTAAGAAAAACAAGCTGGTTCATTCATTTCGATGCTTCTCAGAAATCGCAGTCAGATAATTTTGAATCAAGTGAAAATGACATTGAACTTTACCGGTATTTTTTTGGCCATTCAAATTTCCCCCTAATCATTTATTGTTCCGACTATTTCCAAAGAAAATGACGAAATATTTGTGCTCGTGGTGTTTTTTTTCCAGACCAATAGTTCGATTTTGTATCTAGCAATTTTTGGCAAAACGTTTAAATACCATCTGAAACGTATTGATGTCCTGAGCTCAAATTATTCAAAAAAAATCACCTGTCACCAATTTTTGTTAAGTTATGGGGGTTTAAAGATTGTCTTTTGACCACGTGGGACAATAATGGCGTTCCAAATTTGATGAAGCAGGCTATTTGGCACAACTGATTTGTTACTAAGAGTGAAATATATCATTTTGCACTTAATATGGCGTATGGGGGATGATTTTCAAAAAATCTCAAAGCTTTTTCCAGAAAATTTTAAAACGAACACTGCTCCACAGAATTTGAAAGGCAATCGGAGCAATCAGGTTTTCGTCCTGGTACGAGCAGTCTTTTTATAGTTTATTATCAACGTAATCTTTGATAATTTTTATTCGTTTTCGAATGGCTCACTTTTTCATCGTTTATTGGGCAAATCAATAGTATCTATAATCTATTCTAACACCAGGCACTGAATCACCAAATTTGTTAACACTTTAATTGAAACATCATGATAAGTGGCGTGATAAAAACGTTTTGCCAACGTGTAAGATCTATCACGAAAAAAAATTTGTTAATTAATTGTCTGAAAAATACACTTCCTTTTTCCAAGTTCTCAATAAATTTTGAACAAGAATCAATCATTATTTTTCTAAGATTGTACCAGTTTCTAGCATTCTGCTCCCCATTTGATTTTTTTATAAAAAATTTAAATTTTTTAAAAAATGGTTGTGTTCAGTTTGTACACATTTTAGTTTTTAGGAAAAAAACTTATTATCATTTTCTAAACAAACATTTGAAAGATACAAATTAGCGTCAACCTTTTTATACAGTCAACAAATTTTTAGTTTGTAAAACTAGTAGCAAAATTAAGCATAACTTGGGACTAAACAAAGGTTCTTTCACTATGAAACATTTAAATGGTGTAACGATTTGCATATATTGTTTCTACTACGGTTATTTTACGAAATATGAAATTGAGTAAAGGAATAAGAAAAATAGTTTGAAAATTTTTAAAATTTGTTTCATTTCAGTTAAAAAGAGAGGATTGAACTGGTTGAAATGCCATTGAACCAGCTAAAAACAAATAAATTTTTGAAAAAAGCCCAGATTAATTTGAATGGGAACTATGTCTGAAACAGTGCGAAAAAATTGACAACATACAAACTTGACTCCGAACAAACTGAAAAACGAAAAAAAAAAACGTGACTCCGTACAAACTTACTTTAAGGTACTAAAATTTGGCGGAAAAGCCTCCCTACGCCATCGTTCCCTCCCATCTCTTTTATTAGTCCCACAAATTCATCCGACTTTTTTTTTCAAAAATTGATACCAAATTATCACCAAGAGAGTATATTTTGAAATTCACAAAAAAATGCAACTAAATACCACAAAATTGAGTTCTCTTGATACCTTTTTATTTCATTAAAGATATCTGTTCCACTAATCATTAATATATAATTTGCTTTTACACCCAAATTGGTTTTTTATAGCTTACATAGTGCTATAATTGAAAGATAAATGAACCGGATTTTTCTTTTATTTTTTATTAAAAAATAAATTCTACATGAGTTTTTATTGATAGAGAGTCTTTGCAGAGCGAGTTTCAAGTTGATGAAAAAATAATGAGTTTTCGCAAATTCTCTTTGTTTCGCAATTTCCCATTAAAGGCGGTGCTTCTTTGGATAATTCTGCTGGTCGTCCGTCCCTGCAGAGGTTTGATGAGTATGATACAAGAATAATAGGTTGGAAGAATTACGGAGAGATTACAAGTATCAGATATATCAAACAACGCTTTTCTCTCCTCTCTTTTTGAGCTATCACAGGTGTGTGTATATTAGGAAATAGATTGCATTCCTTTGATCCGATTTCCACACAATTTCAACACGAAATTTGAGTCAACTTTGTTCAATAAGGAATCTTTTTGATAAGGAAATATTATTCCTCTCCTGAAATAATAGCCAAATTAAATTTTAAATAGACTCGCGATAAGATCAATCGCGACTATCCGAAAATACACAAGATAAAACTCGAGACGCAGACAATGATTCCCTTCCCGTTAGCCGCGCCTTTTCCGAGACCGGCTTGAATATTTCATTTGGGGGATATTTTCAACATTTTTCATGCATCTGAATAAGTCATTCGACCGTCTTTCATCTTTTGTTTACTTCCCCTGAATAATGTGCCAAAATAGCGCCTCAGTGTTGTTGTTTTAGACCAAAAACTTGCTTCCTTTTCAGCCCTCCCCCAAACAAAGCAATGGAAATGCTATCGATTGTCTGCTTTTCCAAAATAAGTGAAAAAGTTTTTTTTACGTGTTGGTATTTATGAAGGAATGCACATGGTTGCCAAGCATGAACATGTAACTGAGCCATAAGGCGTTTAGTTTCCAGACTATGTGTCGCACCGATTATAATTCAATTTATAATGTGGACAGATTTTTATAGCCGCTGACGAAGTCTGGAGATACCGATTGTCGTTGCGATAGTCCGATAGTTAGTCACGACGTTTACTGTCTGAAAACTAGTCACGATATAAACTGAGAGTTAGTCGCGATTGTCTTAATATATTAGTCGCAATGGTCGAAACTTAGGCGCGACATAGTCTGAAAATTAGTCTAATTATTGAATTGAGGACGGCTGTTTTGTCTTATTATTACGGTGTTATAAGCAAACAATCGAGTTATACTTTACGAGCGTTTGGTTAAAGATTTTCTAAAAAAAAAGTTTTTTGTGAAAATTTCATCCTTTTTCAAAAATTTAATGTTTTCCATAGAAGTTTAAGCACAGCCGGAACATGCACGGCTTCGCGAGGAGTCTTTTTTTTTGATAAAAACTGAGTCTGAAAAACATCCGATGGTTACATGAGCCAAAAGCGACAAATTAAACAATAAAAGCAGCCAATAATTACGTCATTTGAGTGACTTGCATCATTTTGCATCACTTTTACATGCATCATTGATGTTGATGAAGTGTTACATTAAAATTGTTGCCATTTTAGGTGATAAAATTTGTCTCTGGCTTCAAGTCAACGGGTTCGTTCACCTGGCGATGGTTCAGTATCATTTGAATGAAAACATATGACGTAAGATTTTTAACTACTCGTTGCGTGGACAAAGTGAGCGATTCACTTTCAAGTTCCAAAAATGGTTAACTACTCTGAGATTTAACTTTAGAGCGATTCATCATCAAATAAACTGTTCAAGCTAATCCCGCGGCAATTGTTTATAATTTTAAACAGAGTTTGAAAAAGTTAAGGTACTATCAATTTTTTTTCTTGAAAATCAATGATAGTATGAATTTGGAAATAAAAAAATTACTTCAAAAGCTGATAAGAATCAGATATTTTCAAACAAAGTCAAAAAAAGCACCTGTAAAATTGATGGAATATTTATTGCGGAATTGGAACCTGATCTAAACTACATTTTATTATTGGATAAATTAGATATTTTACCACTGTAAAATCTTTAATATTAACCAATCATAATCCATCCAACTAACAACCCACTTATTTGTAAGTGCTGAAAATACTTGTATTTTCAGCACCAGAGAGATTTGAATTTAACTTAGAAATTAGTTGCCTCTCCAAGAGAACTTCAGCTGCCGCAATAAGCCAGTATACTCTAGATCTATTGAGCCTAGCAGAGACTAGTTAAACACCCTGAGACTAGTAGATATAAGAGTAAGATTAGGATCGGTATTAGACTAAGAAGTTGCACGAATCTATCCGGCCGAAAATAAGATAGCGTGACGAGCAGACGGTGTAACCTATCCGAAATTACTCTATGAGTTAACCAAAAGGATCTAACTCAACTGGTGCAACCATAAGTCTCGAATAAGACCTTAATAGCTTAGAATTAACCAAATATAGATTAGAATTTAGACAAAACATTTTCAAAATGTTACACGATAATAATTTAATTGAAATGTCTCTACGACTCAAAAGATCAGAGCCAATATTCCGCACAATACTAGAACTACCCGGTATTGGAAGGAGACTTCGAACGAGAGACGACATACGACTACATAGAAACTTACCATTTAGTTTCATGGTTGTACGGCAAAAGCCAACACAAATTTTTATATTTAGAATCTTATTAGCAATGAATTAAGATTTTCATTTGCAAACATGAAATTTTAAAGAAAATCTTCATGATTATCTCAGGCGCTAAACAAAATTACTAATGTACAATAACGATTGACAAAAAGATCTCAGATCATTTTCTCAACTT